GTAAGGTCTGTGTACACACTACCCTCTCCAGACCCCACTCGTGGGATTTACTGGGTTTTTTGTTGTTGTGAGAGCCTTGGCACAACTGGTAGACCGCACAATAGACCCTTGTGGTCCGGTCCTTCCCCGGATAGCGGGAGCTTAGTACACCAGGCTGCTTTTTTTTTTTTTTTTGGTTGTTGTTGTAATCTAATATTTGTTAGATTTTACTGATTTTTCACATATATATATATCTATATCCCATGTCGAAAATACTATAGCTCATGTTAGCTAAGTACATTAGTACCATTGTTTTTAATTGTTTTGGTTTTTGGCACAGGATTGAAACTGAAGGGAAAGGGGTAATGAAACCAGTTGATCTCTTGAACCATTTGGTTTCTGTTACTAGTAAAACAAATGGAGTAAATATTGAACCTAGTGCACTTGTGGAAGTTCTCAGTTGCAGCCAGGAAGCTGTGATTGTACCACCAAAACTAGCACTAGCTGTACGTCCGAGGCCCGGTGTATGGGAGTACTTGTCACTGAATCTTAAGACAAAGAAAGTGGCTGAATTGAGCATTCCTGAATACCTTCAATTGAAAGAGAACACTGTTGATGAAAGGTAAAGTATTAGTCTGCGATTTCGCTTTGTCAAGTTGAGGTTTCTTTGTTTGATTCTTAATGTTTTGTGTCTCAATTATGTTATACAGTGGAAACATATTGGAGTTGGATTTTGAGCCATTTACAACTGTTACACCACCAAAAACACTTTCTGACTCTATTGGCAATGGTTTGGAGTTTCTTAATCGCCACATTGCTTCGAAAATGTTTCATGAAAAGGAGATTGCCAGATGCCTCCTTGACTTTCTCAGAAACCATAACTACAAAGGAAAGGTAGTAAAAAAAAGTGTTTATTTAAACAAGTTGTATGATTATGTGTATATTTCTAAATATGTCAATTTGTAAACAGTCATTGATGGTGAAAGAAAGCATTCAAAGCTTGGAAAGTTTCCAACTTGTTCTGAAAAAAGCAGAGGAATATTTGTGCACATTGAATCCAGAAACTCCATACTCCAAATTTGAAACCAAGTTTGAAGAGATTGGCTTGGAAAGAGGATGGGGAAACACCGCTGAACGCGTGCAAGACACCATCAGTCATCTTTTGCATCTCCTTGAGGCTCCTAATGCGTCTTCTTTGGAAAATTTCCTTGGTAGAATCCCATTGGTTTTCAATGTTGTGATTCTAACTCCACATGGTTATTTTGCTCAAGATAATGTCTTGGGCTATCCTGACACTGGTGGCCAGGTTTGTCTCCGATATAACATGTACAGAAATTTTGCATTCTTGATCAAGTTCTTTATACCATTTGAACCAACAATCTTTTTTTTGGTTGTGAAATGTTGAATAGGTTGTTTACATTCTTGATCAAGTTCCAGCTATGGAGCGTGAGATGCTTCATCGTATGAAGCTTCAAGGACTCGATGATATCATCCCTCGCATCCTTGTTGTAAGTGCCCTTACTTTTCCTAGTTTGATTTACACCTCTAAATGAAATTGATCTTTTTTGTTGTTTTATATCAGGTAACAAGGCTGCTGCCTGATGCAGTAGGAACCACTTGTGGCGAGCGGATGGAGAAAGTATATGGGGCAGAACATTCTCATATAATTCGTGTTCCATTTAGAACTGAGAAGGGAATGTTGCGCAAATGGATCTCACGATTCGAAGTCTGGCCATACATGGAAACTTTCACTGAGGTTGGAAATAAAAACAAATAAAATAAATTGGAATGTTCTTCTGCATTTGAAAATGTCTTGCTAACTAAAGACTCATATTTAAATTGATCATCAGGATGTTGCAGAAGAACTTGTCAAAGAATTGCAAGCTAAACCAGACTTGATCATCGGTAACTACAGTGAGGGAAATCTTGCTGCCTCTTTGCTTGCTAAGAAATTTGGGGCTACTCAGTGTACCATTGCTCATGCCTTGGAAAAAACTAAGTATCCAAACTCTGACCTTAATTGGAAGAAGTTTGATGACAAGTATCATTTCTCAAGTCAGTTCACTGCTGATCTCTTTGCCATGAATCACACTGATTTCATCATCACCAGCACTTTCCAAGAAATTGCTGGAAGGTAAAAGCAAATGCACACCATCCTACTATTTCATATTTTTACCCTAGTTTATACTTTTTCCATGCGCCGACCCCAACTTGTTTGGGATTGAGCCATAGTTGTTGTTGTTGTTGTTGTTGTTTGTTTATACTATTTCCATTTTCTGACCCCAACTTGTTTGGTACTGAGGCATAGTTGTTGTTGTTGTTGTTGGTTTGTTTATACTATTCCATTCGCTGATCCCAACTTGTTTGGGACTGAGGTATAGTAGTAGTTGTTGTTTGTATACAATATACATTTGCCGACCCCAACTTGTTTGGGACTGAGGCATGGTTGTTGTTGTTGGTTTGTTTATACTATTTCCATTCGTTGATCTCAACTTGTTTGGGGTTGAGCCATAGTTGTTGTTGTTGTTGTTGTTTGTTTATACTATTTCCATTTGCCCCCAAATTGTTTGGGACTGAGATATAGTTATTGTTGTTGTTTGTTTATACTATTTCCATTCGCCGACCCCAACTTGTTTGGGACTGAGGCATAGTTGTTGTTGTTATATTATTTCCATTGATATTTGAATATCTTTTACTTTTCAGCAAGAATACTGTAGGACAGTATGAGAGCCATACTGCTTTTACCATGCCTGGATTGTACCGAGTAGTCCATGGAATCGATTCGTTTGATCCAAAGTTCAACATTGTCTCCCCTGGGGCTGATATGTCAATCTACTTCCCTTACACTGAGAAGGAGAAAAGGCTAATCAACTTCCACCCGGAAATTGAAGAACTCCTCTACAGTCCTGTTGAGAATAAGGACCACTTGTTAGTCTCCTTAATTTGCTTTTATTTCATCCCATATATGATCGCCTTTTTCCCAACAGATCGATTAATCATTTGTTACAACATAAACAGATGTGTGTTGAAGGACCGGAACAAGCCAATTCTCTTTACCATGGCAAGGCTAGATCGCGTGAAGAATTTAACAGGACTCGTGGAATGGTATGCTAAGAATGCAAGGCTGAGGGAGCTTGTTAACCTTGTGGTTGTAGGCGGAGACAGAAGGAAAGAATCCAAAGATTTAGAAGAGCAAGCAGAGATGAAGAAGATGTATGATCTCATCGAAACCTATAACCTGAACGGCCAATTCAGGTGGATTTCTTCCCAAATGAATCGTGTGAGGAACGGAGAACTCTATCGTTACATTGCAGACACGAGGGGTGCTTTCGTTCAACCAGCATTCTACGAGGCTTTTGGTTTGACAGTTGTTGAGTCTATGACTTGTGGTTTGCCAACTTTTGCTACTTGTAATGGTGGACCATTTGAGATTATAGTGAATGGAAAATCTGGTTTTCATATTGATCCTAATCAAGGTGACAAGGCTGCTGATATGTTGGTAAATTTCTTTGAAAAATCTAAAGAAGATCCAAGTTATTGGGATGCTATTTCCAAGGGTGGTCTGCAGCGTATTCTTGAAAAGTAAGCGTTTGCATTTGATTAGCACTAAGTGTACAACCAAGATTTAACTTTTGATAAACTAAAACTAACCCTTAATTTTATTTTCTTTTGCTAGGTATACATGGCAAATTTATTCACAGAAAGTGATCACACTATCTGGGATTTATGGATTCTGGAAATATGCAACCAAGAATGACAAAGTTGCTAGCGCTAAGAAGCGCTATCTTGAGATGTTTTATGAACTTGGATTTAAGAAATCAGTAAGTGTCAATTTTAAAGCGGAGGCTTGCAGCAACGGTTAAGTTGTCTTTGTGCAACCTATAGGTAGCACAAAGAAGTAGCCACTAATACTTGCATTAGGGTAGGCTGTCTACATCACACCCCTTGGGGTGTGGCCCTTCCCTGAATCCTGTATGAACGCTGGATGCATTGTGCACCGTTTTTTTTTTTTTTTTTTTTTGAAGTGTCACTTCTGTATTTTGTTTGAGCTTGTTTATAAAGTTTGGAAATCTGCTACTAATTTGTATATTTGTTGGTTGTGTATTTCAGGCTGAGAAAGTTCCATTGGCTATTGATGAATAGTTGAAGAGGCAAAAGCATCAACAAGAAGATGGAACACGCAATGAAGGAGAGACTGCTGTTTTTGAATGTTTTTTTTTTTTTTAAATTTAAAATCTTTTCCTTTGTGAATGCAATTCCTTGTCCTAAATGCCCTTTCAATGGATGGTTTTATCTTTCATGTTTTGTTTGAACTTTTGGGAAACAATGTTACAACTTTGCCTGTTTTGATTAATGAAAGTCTAAATTTCTACTACTTAATTCATGCACAATTGCTTCCTGCCTTTTTTTTTTAATCTCAAAAGGACTGTAATTCTAGTTTTGGCCAAAACCATCCATAATAGTATAATACCATGAATTAGAGAAACTCTATATCTCAGACTAATCACACCACCACAAATCACAATGATATAAATCTCTAAAACGAACTGTAATTAAAGATTATATCAATAATATTTCCTTTGCTTCTAGTAGCAAGAAGTAGTCGCCTCTCTAACTCTGGTATGTATTTAGTATCTACAGCTTGTTGGGGCTCTCTATTACAATTTTCTTGACAAAAAGATATGCCTTTCTCTAAGAAAAACTATATTTTCAATATGAAAAAGACGAGTGTCGGAAGTCAATGTTGGAAAAGAGTATTCGGAACTTGAAAGTTGAATTAGTGTTTGGACAATGATTTGACTTGGAAAAATAGTTTAAGTTTTTGCAGTATTTTACACTTGAAATACTCTTCAAACAAATTATTCTAACTTCAAATTCTCTATTTCAAATTGAAGTTGAGACAGTGGACCAAATTAATTTGAAAACAAACATATATTTGGAAATAATGATGATATCCTAATCAAAAATTTAAATTTGGCAGGAAAGGAAAAAGACTTTAGAGATGGATTAACCTTTCCTGATCGCAGAACTTCAGTGGTAAATGATTTCTATATATTTCCTTGCAGTCGAAAAGAACCAACTTACATGTACAGGTGGTATAAAGTGGGAAAAGAGGTTTCTTTAAATTCCCATTTACACTTTTAATTTGCTACAAAATTTGCCTCATTTGTACACTTATAACAACTTAAGTTTACTTAAGGAGACGCTTCCTGGTAACGTCCACTGCTACAGTCATTGCTTCAAGTACAATAATCTCAGTCGCGTGTTCCAGTATAAGCAAGCCTGACTATATGCCGAAGAAGTGGCAAAAGCAACCAACATTTCCAGCTTGCTTAAAGATGCAGGTTGTATATTGGCTACACGTTAACCAATCTCGCCAATAGATAGTTACATACATGTTTTATTCCTTGATTTTTCTGGCTGTTGTCTTCCTACGAAGAGGCTCCCCGGGGTACAGAAGTATTGCCAGTGACAAAGTGAAGGCAAAACCAACTACTCCACTAAATGGTTGAGTTGGATAAGACCCCGTGAACCATGGAGGGAACTTTGGTTGATAAGTCAAGAAACCCCCAGTGTGTAAGATATAACTAGAAGCCACTATACCTGAACGCAGCCCAATTGGAAGGAAGAGGCTTCCCTGGCTTCTTTGGCGAACACCAGCAAGAGTCAGTGACAATAGCCACAAACCAGGCACTGCCCACGGTGACCTGAAAAGCAATTTTAGAGTATGACACAAACTCACCTTGATGGAATTTCATTTGCATATAGCATTAAGAACGCAATCAATCCAACAGAATAAAAGTGTTTGGAGTGGGAAGAGAGGGTACATCCGAAGAGGCAAGATAGACAGGAGGCGCATGTATAAAGACAGGAGAGCACTAAACAGAACTAAGCAAATACAGGGAAAATATTCTCAGGAAACCCTAATTAAATCATTCAATTATTCATAAGTTTCGAGAGACAGAAATTGGCAGCTCGAAGGGCAAGTAACCTAAACACTCAGGATACGTAGATCTTTATCAAAGCCCGAGTGCATAAGCAGATCAAGAATGAGGGCACACCTTTACCTTATTAAAAAAAAGAAAAAAAGAATGAGGCCGCACCTTTGAAACAAAGCAAACACAAGTCCAGAAACTATGATTCCAGGATGATATCCCAGGTCAACAGCAATTTCATCAGGCAACCATGACCTGAAAAGAAGTTCCTCAACAGTGGCAACGCCTGTTGCAGTTGCAAGTCCTTGAACAAATAAAACAAACATCTGACCATACACCTTTAACCAGGTTAAAGCTGCTGACGAGGTTGGAGGAGCCACAGGCAAACAGAAATGGGCACAGCCAATTAAGGAGTTCACAGAATGTATTAGTAAAACAAGAGCAATTCCTCCAAATAAACCTTTCAGATAATTCTGTCCCTGCAAGAAAGGCAGGCAGCATCTGAGTAATGCGAGGTAAAATGGATTTTCCTTCGAAGCTTCAAATTTGTAACGTACAGAAATACTAACATTCAAGGCCAAAATCATAAATTGATACTTGAAGAATGTCATTATAGCCCATATTATGGTCTCACAATTAAGGCGAAAAGCAGAAAATGAGGGGCAACGTGAAACTCTCCCCCATCCAATCCCTGATAGCCTGTTACATACAACAAACAGACAACAACAACCCAGTAAAATCCCATAAGTGGGGTCTGGAGAGGGTAGTGTGTACGCTGACCTTACCCCTACCCGAGGGGGTAGAGGGACTGTTTCCGAAAGCCCCTCGGCTCAAGACGACGAAAAGAAACACTATATCAATACCATCAACAGAAAAATCAAGAAATAATGACAACAACATAAGAACCAGAAAATAGATGTAAAGCAATAATAATAACCAGTAAATAAAGCTCGGCACAATGAAAACGGAGAATAGTTTGAACACAACATTAACCACTAGCAGTCAGAGACACAACCCTATCAGACTAGCCTCAGCCACCTCCTAACCTACCACTCTAATGCACGACCATGTGTAGGTCCTTCTTCCTATCCCTTTACTGTTCCACCAGCCTCCTAATAAGATGGATAGTTTCCGTAGTCGACCGACCCAGCATGAACCCGAACTGGTTGTCGGATATAGACACCTTCCTCCTCATCCTCGCTTCTACCACCCTCTCCCAAACTTTCACGGTATGACTTAGCAACTAGATATCCCTATAGTTGTTACAACTCTCGATATCACCTTTATTCTTGTACCATGTTAGCCTGTTACCATGGACACAAAAGGGAAAGAGAAAAAAAGAATTGTCTTGATGGAAACATTGTCGCTAAAGATATGGTTTCTTTATTAAATATGATGAAAACCATGGAAGCGTACATTACATCAGATATCTGGTCCAGATTCTTTCCTAGAGTGATATGTTTCATTGCATTCCAACAAAAAGAGAGGGAATTGAATCTTGCATCCATGAAGGGGCACATTTTCATGGAATGTCAAGTTTGGGCACAACCAAGTTAGCCCATCTAAAATTTGGGCTGATTTGGGCTAAATATGCAGCCCAAATTGACCCATCAGAGAAAACTCATCAAAATATTTTTAATTTTCTTTTTTGATATGGTCATAATAAAAGGAAAAAGGTTATATTACTTTTGTTTAGTAATTACACAAATTATAAATACAAACAAAAAAATTAAAAACTTAGTTATAGTCGGGCCGGTTGGACTCTGACACATTGTTGAACCCATATTGACACAACCCATTTAGTCGAGGAAATGAAAGGCCGGTTAATATGTGGAAGAAAACGCCATATAGACTAAATGGGTATAGCGCACAGGTCCTTCACTGTGTTAGTGTATTACCAATATCAGACGTTGTTGAAGTAAATACAGAACCGGCTACTGATCTTCCAGCAAGGTGCTTCCTCAAGAAGTTGTTACTTTATCAACTTTAAAGCACTAGTTGACTCTGACAAAAAAATAAAAAACTTTTACCTTCTGCATTGACGTCATATCTAGCCCATACTGCTCAAGCGGATTCTCATAGCCACGAATCCTTTTGCCCCATAAAGTAATTAGTAAGAAAATAGACATGTAGAGGCCAACAATGCAAACGAGCTCAGCAGTCCTGGATGGCCTCGGCGTTGTCCACCTTTGCACAAGTGTGAGCAGCAATGGAACGACCACTGGTGACCATAAAACAAGCACCATACCTGCAAAAGCAAGAATCCTGGTGCAAGTTCCAGAGTCAAAGCAACATCAACATAAGGTGACGAAGAATGTCAAGCTGAGTGAGAAATAACAGAGAGCTCAGTCTTAAATCTTGTTGACACATAACTAAAATCTGCTGGACAGATGTGACTGAAGGCACCATTGACTCTACTCATGAAAATAACATGTCAGTGACAAAAGAAACTGCGACCCTGTAATTTTTTAAATTATAGGAGCACGTCTAATAAAGGATATGAAGCTTGCCTAATAGAAAAAGCATGCTTGAAAGAGGTTCTGAGGTAAACGGCATCTCAAGATTAGCCGCACCATCCAATGGTGATATTGAAATCTGTAAAGAAACAGCTGCATCACAGATTTTTTAAAATGCAATAAGTGCATTGTGCTGGTTTATTTCACGTTTAAAGAGTAGTGGTTTCTGATGCATAAACTAATAGAATAATTTTATAGATACCACCCCCCCCCCA